AACAATGCAGCTGCGGCGGAGGTTGGCCCCGCCGAAGGAAACTCGCTTCTCCCAGGTTGTCTGAGGGGAGGGACACCAGAGCAATGGAAATTCCCCAGCAGTAACGGAGAACAAAAGAAGAGGTGTTGGAAGCTGCCGTTAAAAAGAGGCAGGCTCTCTAGACCTGCTGGCTGCCAGACTTGGATAGCTTCTTCCAGGGGCTGAAAGAGGAGAGGAGGGTCCCCCGGCTGACAGAGAACCACACTGCTCTGCAGGATGCAATCCCCCAGGAAGCCTTGATTTAAAACTACTCCCTCTCACAGAGGGACAGAGTTTTACAGCTCCCCGCCATCCCCCATTGGGGTATGGGGTTGAGATGGCAGCCACTGCCGAGGGCTCTGCTCAGCCCAGGGTGTCCCTGGGGGGACCCCACACCCGAGTCAGCCACGAAAACTCCCTGCCCAGACCTGGGCTCTGCACAAGCTCTCTCTTGTTTTTCCATGGATCTGGAAGTCTCTAGATTTCCTCCCCTGATTAAAAGGTGTGGCTGTTGAAGAAATCAGTTTACAGAGCCTCCAAATTCCTTACTGCCGTTGTCATATGTCTGCAAGAGGAGTATGTGCGAGGCCAGGGCGCGGGGAAGGGTGTGCTGCACCACGGCTAGGGCTTGGCTCTGGGACCGCTGAATCCCCCTTCCTAGCAGGAGTAACTCTGCAAGGACTCTGCACCTGGAGAGGAAACTTGAGGAGCAATCCATATATGCCAGATTAAAATATCTGGTAAAAATCCCTTAAACCCATGCATATCCTTCCCTGAAAAAAAAAATTAAAATAAAACCTGTCATCTCACTGCTTACTTTCCTTAGTAGTACAGTCGTAATGGGTGGTTTTTACTGAAACAAAGGGAAAAGTTACACTGATTTATAAATTCATTAAAACACCAGGAGAAAAAGCAGCGGTTAACTAAGTACTCCCATTGACTGCCGTGGCTTTTGGATCAGGCCCAATGCTGGAATAAGTGGTGAAACATTTTATTTTCTAACATTTTAGTGGCTACTGCAAACAATGGAAAATACAAGCATATACGTAGAATAACTCTATCCTTTGCAAAATGAGATCACACCTAAAAATACTTCCTCTCATTGCTGTATAACTTCAGTTTATGATAATAGCTATTACACACATATAGTGAAGAGGAAAAAATAGCTTCTCAAGTGCTGGGATTAAAACTTGGTATTGTACTGTAAAGTTTCTACTACAGAAGAAACTTGAAAATCTATAGTGATTCAGGCTATTTATTCAAATAACAGAACAGACTATCCAATTACTGCATGGACAACATGAAATAAGATAGTAAAAAGCAAGGGATTTGAGTTATCAAATTATGGCTTGGAGATAGGAAAATCTTCGTGATACTGATGATTCTTTGTATCAAAATTATATCAAGTATTCAGAAACAACTGCAAAACGTATCTGAATTTTAGTTTTCCAGTTTGAAACAATTAGTGCTATTATTTACATCCCTACACATAAGCCCACACAGCTTGAATTTCCTGGGATATACATGTGCTATTAATTTTAAACTTTGCTCTAGGATCCAAGCCTGAATCACCAGGCCCTGTCACTTTCTAGCACAAGGGTGTGTTTTGACCACTTGTACCACAGACTGCTCCAGTGTCCTCACTTCTCAAAGTGTAAAGATATTTTTCGGGAGTTTACATTTTAGTTTTTAAAAGCTAAAGTCCTACACTTAAATTTCCTTAGCAACTTCCGAAGCAGCCGACTTTTGCAGCTGTGTTGCCATGCTACAGGTTTCATCATTGCTTGACCAGAGAAGAGAGCATTGGTTAAGCTAAAATCTCAATTTAGAGTGATTTTCTATAACATTGCATCAGTTCCCTGCTGAGTAGCATGGAAGCGAGTGACAATTCCGTAACATGAAGACAAGTAAATTAGTATTTATAGAACAGTTCAGCGCTAACCTTCTTAAGACACGAGAAGCATTTTGTTATGCAGTTTCGTCAACTCCATTAGATATAGACAGAATTGGTTTGGATTTTAATTCTAAAGCTGCTGGCACAATTCATTTCAAAATGTGCAATCCCCTCAAAATAGAGGAAAACAGACAAGAGTAAACGCAAAATTGCTGCAGGAACAGAAATACATGCAATTGCTTTATTGAGCACAGCGCTGACCCTGCTCCATTCTCTGCCAGTGGGAATTTTACCACTGACTCCAGTGAAAGCACAGCCAGGCTAGTGATTTTCTAACACTTGAAGGCAATTATTTTTATTCTAAAATGCAGGAATAGCCTCCCGCTCCGGTCTGGTTCTCAGCCTGAGGCTGTAGCCCTGCCAGCACTGTTAATGTCATTGTTTGCGAAGTGTATTCCCAGTCTCGCGTACACCCACGCAGGGCTCCCAGCTCCTGGCCATGATGTCCCCCCACTGCATTGTTCCAGCTCCCCCCTGCTTCCTTGCCTCCCGCCCCGGCCCACCGCCAGCCCCGGCCCCCCGCACCATTGTTGTCCCCCTGCACCCACCCTGCATTGTTCTCACCCCCACCCGCCTGCCCGCCATCCCCACCCGGGAGGGACTCTTCCTCCCTCCCACTCCCCGCAGCAGTTCAGGCTCCTTTCTTACCTACTTCCATATATTCCACTGACCTATCGGCATCAAAACATCTTCCCTTTCTGAAAGCGCATTACACAATCTATCGTTACTGGAGCCCACAGCTTTTGCGAGCTGTGGGCGCTCTGCCTTGAGAAGCCCTGTCCAAAGTCTCTTAAACAACAAGAAGATTCTTATTTCGTTGCTACAGACTTTAGTCAGGCCCAAAATTGGGACGGATAGAAAGCATTATTGCATTTTCAGATAGGACACAAAAGACTAGAGCAAAAGTATCTTGTCACTACAGAACAGAAATACGTAATAAGACAGATATATAGGGATCGATATTATTACCTCTTCACAATATATATGTACAGAAATGACTGGCATGATTTACATGGACTACATTGTTACAATAAATAAAAGTTAAATCCTTAAAAGCAGGGTTAAAAATGTACTTTAAAAACAAAAAAAACACAAGCCAAGGCTCATGTTTCCGTAGTCAACTGTTAATTTCAGACAGGATTTCTAAAATACCTTATTTATATATGTATATCTATATTCATATATATGTAAAGTATAAAAACAGTTTTATTCATTTATCAATTAAACAATGATTAAATGTTTAAAAATATTTTTAAAAATCTATAGAAGCGGACGAAGTTTGCCAGCTGTCCTGCCATTATTTTGGCCACCTTGCTTTTTACAGCCCTCCATTTTGTACACCCACAAGGTTCTTTGGAAATAGCTATCTGTACTGTGCTGTATTTTTCATGCCGACATATAGGAATACAAACCCTACATTTTTATGTACTTTTTATTTTTTTCCTATGATATTTCACTTTTGCAGTGGTACTGCTTTCAAAATGATATTCCCTCTTTTCACAAGATCATGTTTATTATACGAAGGATGATATGATGCGTAAACTGTTTCCCATGCTCCAAGTAAAAGTGAATCTTTGCTAATTCTGGGGAAGAAGAGCAGCTGTATATGCTTAGAGTAGATTAGGTACAGAAACAAAACCAAATACCTCATTCTATTAATAAATAATTAAAATATTTTATATTTTAATACATGAAAAACTTGTTAACTCTTACCATGGCTTATGCGATGAAAGCAGTAGTATGCAAAGTCCACTCCCAGGAGCGTCAAATACCACGTCCATGGTGAGTCCCAGGGTAGTTCACAGAGTCTGTAGTTATTCCATACGTAGATATAACTAATTAAGTCGACACTTCTGAATAAAACACTGAAATAGACATCCAAAAACTTTTATCAATAATTTTGTCAACTTTAATTACAGAACCTTTTTACTATATATTTACCATTTACCAGTTGAGTCTTTTTGTGACACATAAAACTAGTCTCTGCGTTCTGCAATCTTTGTCTAGTAATACTACTATTGCTTAAGGTCTGCAAGGGTTTTTAAAATCGGCCCTCACCCACTCACCACCTGTGTTGTGGCATTAGGCACGCTCAAAGGCTGAAGCACTCCTGAGCTCTGCAGGTGCTATGGCCTTCCTGTTCTCCCAAGTCTGGAAGAAACCCGTCCTTGCCAACTCACAAGTGACTGAAGTATAGCAGCAATTATGCTCAAACACTAATGTATGACATTAAAATACCTTGATGATTTCCATTGTAAGGAAGGGCACAGACGGTGACAGGACTTTTGGGAGCAGTGAGATATTCAATCTGCTCAGCATATCACTTCACTTTAAAAGAGAATGAATGCTGCAGGAGGAGACAAAGCCCAGTGACTTTGAAAAGAAGGGAAAGGGAAATTGGTAGAGAAATGGCAGGATAGCCAGAAAGAGGGAGGAAAAATTATGAATTTGCAAAGGCAGGAAAGCCACCAGACAGCAGCTTTTATTGCTATCGAGCTCCTGGACTACAGGGAATGAGCAGCTCCCCCTGACCTAACACAGGTCAGCACTGATGGGCAGGCCAGATCCAGCACTAACTCTCCACAGCTGCTTAGGTTAATACAAATTTAGGTTTCCGCAGTCGCAGCCTCCCTTTGGTGCCCCACTACCGCCCATCTCATTTCACTGATTTAGAGGCTGAGCTGTCTCCAAACAAATTGCCTTGGTCTTGCTAGGTGAGCTTTTGGACACATTGGGAAGCATTAACCCCAGTGTGAGAGATGGGGGGCTGTGGGCACTGGGCTGGCCCAGGTGACTACCGGCTTAGGTAGCTGTGAAATGGCACCACAGCTGCAGATCAATGTGTATTTAAACTGGTATTTTTGTAGAAGAGAGTAGCCCACAGCATGATTTGCAGCAGCTTCCTCATGCCCCCTCCTGTTACCCTCCTTTGCTGTGCTGCTGGAAATATTTGTGGGACTGTGGTGAACTGAACGGGGGCAGCCTCTGAAAATCAGCAAGCAGAA